CCGCCTTGCCGGCCTGAACACCCCCAATTGCCCTCCCCTGCTGCGACCTGCCTCCTCCGCTGGGACCCGCCTCCTCCGCTGGGACCCGCCTCCTCCGCACGAGGCAGCGGCGACACCGGGACCGGCCTCTTCTGTTCCACATGGAGCCCCAGGCCTCACTATGCGGAGTGGCCACCAGGCCCTGCCTCTGCTGTGCGCGTGGCCATCTTGTGGCAGCCATCTTGGGACAATGTTGTGCACAAGGACCACCTAGTCCTAGGTTTTTATTAGTATAGATCAGTGGTCGGCAAACTCATTAGTCAACAGAGCCAAATATCAATAGTACAATGACTGAAATTTCTTTTGAGAGCCAAATTTTTTAAACTTAAACTATATAGGTAGGTACATTGTTATTAATTAGGGTACTCCTAAAGCTTAGGAAGAGCCACACTCAAGAGACCAAAAAGCCGCATGTGGCTCATGAGCAGCAGCTTGACGACCACGGGTATAGATGATAGAGTCTGACCTCACATTGAGACAGACACAATGTCTTTGAGCTATTCTGAATTAATTGTGTTTTAGTAACATCGCTTTCCTAAAAACTCTCCAATGGGGAGGGAGTGGAGATTAAAGCTGAGATAAGTGGCAAGTATTTTAAAGAAGAGGTGCTCTTAACTTGTCCTAAGCTTCTTTTGAACTTTTATTCCTAATGTACACTATACATCACCAAATACAAATGCCTGGAATTAGAATTTTCCACATTAATTCCATCAATACAGATTTAAAGATCATTGTGATATTACATCTAAATGCTTCTTATATTCAATATTTCACCATTTACTTTGTTCCTAAAATTATTTTGTGCAATAGTTACTGACATTTTCGAAAAGTAGTAAATATGCAGAAATTCAAGTGTTCATAGTTACAGACTTGAACATTAAAGACTATAAGTTAGTTGGTAAGAAAATAAGGACTGGTTAATAGTACTATTTTTTATTATATCCCCTTTCTTTGAATCATTACATTAGAGATATGTGAGAAATCAAACTAGTCTTCAAAAGTTAAACACACTTCCACCCAACACAGATCTATTTTTAAATTCATACTTAAAATTAAAACAACAAAACAAACCTGTGGATATTATCATTGATTAAAATCGCAATTAGATGATTAGAAAAAACTTAATTGATAAGCTAACAAAATTATGAATGGTCATAATTACATTTACAGTTCCTTATCTGAATAATTTAGGATCATTTTGCTAACTGTAACATACACAGTTCTGTGAGGCTACATCATTTTGTAGAAAAACCTACTAAGACAATTTGATAAAAAAAATTTTAAGTCAAATCAAATTAATTTTTAAAAGATACATGAGAACTTACATTAATTAAAAAAACACTCTCCTTCAAAAAACTCAAAATGATCATATGTGTATATGTAATAACTGTCTTCACATAATAAATCAGAAAGAGAAACTAGTATATGCAAAAAAGTACCCATGATCGAGAACTCAGGAGTTCAAGATGAGAAAGTTGCCTTAATCCTCTCCCCTCTGAAGTCTTTGAACTCAAGACTACTTTAAATGCAATGGAGTACACCCAGAGGACTTTCTAAATAATACATGTTAACTAAATTAAGAAATGGGCTAAGAGGTCTACATTAATGAAAGGATACCTAAATTTAGATACTCTCCCACCCCCACAACTGTAAGCCCATGAACAAAAACTTAGGGTCAGAATTTATAGAAAAAGTACCCCAAATTCTTACATTTATTAGCTAATTTAAGTTTCACTGTGTGTTTAAATTCATATTCTGGAAGTTTATCATTTTACATATTGTTATGAAGTATTAAAATACTTGTAACTGATTACTTAAGTTTACTTTTACTTTATAGATAAACTCTGACATACTAAGATTTTTTGTTATAAAAAGGGTTGTTATGGCTTTTCATATCAAAACATCATACCCATTAGGATAAAGCATATTTATTTTTAAATGCAGTGTTTATGCTAGTCTATAAGAAAATAAACTTTACAAAATAACACTAAAAGTTACATCATTGGATGTTTTAAATATACATAATACATGTCCATTCTACATACCTAACAAAATCTAAGATAAATAATTAAATACTTAAATAAATATTTCAACTTCAATATTTTACTAAACCAACTTATGTATCAGGTCTGGGATGAAAATTTAAATCATAAAATATAGGTTAAAACCTGAAATCATGGATTTAATTCATATACATGTATTTTCATAATATATACATATTATATAAATATATGTCATTGTGTCTATTAAAGTTTTCTATTCACAGTTCATCTTCAGCTACATGAATTTACTAGTCCTTAACTATTAATTACCGTATTTGCCGGCGTATAAGACGACTGGGCGTATAAGACGACCCCCTAACATTTCCACTCAAAATACAGAGTTTGTTATATACTCGCCGTATAAGACTACCCCCTCTTCCGCACACCTTCCACACACCAAATAAAAGGTAAAACAATATCAGATTTGATTTTAACATTTTAATTTATATTCAAATGCTTATGACATGCAGGAAAACTGTCACAAGGCTGTATGTAATCAAACATATACATAAAACAGTGCAAGTTTATTACCGGTAAACATACCGGTAATTCACTAAAGAAAACACACTCTATAGACTGGTACCGTAGATGCTTCTCAGGAACACAGGCAAGCAGCCCACAACCTAGAGGGACTGTCAATGATAGAAGTAAGATAACAAATAGAGGTAGAGAGCAAGTGCCGGGCAAGTCCCTAGCAA